GTGTTCGTGATCGTCAGGCCGTGAGTGGCACACAGTGAGAGCAACCTATCACCGTTCACATTCGTTGAATCAACGCCATGCGGACCGATAACATCTGTCCACACTGATGCATCACGCCCAACGCGCGCGTTGAAACCACCCAGCAGAAATAGTCAGTCGCTCCTCAGCAAAGACCGTATCACGGAGGGTAACTGATTGTAGAATTGATCACGCGTGTCATCAATATAGAACATGGTGGTCCCGTATGTGTTAATAAAGGGGCAAACTTACCTATTCCGAGTCGTAGGCGAACAGTCATCAGTCGCGCACTGATGCCAGTAGACTCACCCACCAGCTGGCCATTTAGGCGATCGGATATTGCAAATCCGACTCCATGTTCACGTGGTGCTGAGGTGGCGTTGACCACCCAGTAGAACGTATAGCCAGCACCAGCTTCATGCAACTTACCTTGCTCAGCGAGCCGGGTCTCCCTGAGTACCGCAATATCAACCTTGTAGTGCGCCAATTCCAACGAAACTAGTGCCGTGGATCGCTCCGGGCGCTCACTCGAGTTCCGGTCCAGTAGTGTGCGCAGGTCCCAGTACCCGATGCTGAGTGCTTTGCGCGCAGGCATACGATTGCATTGGTGGGCGATCGCACGCGTGGTGGTGGTTATGCTTCGGAGGTTTGCTTGAGGGACTCTGCCCAGAGCCTTGGACTCAATAGCCTGAACTACAAGGCAGTGGGGTGCAGATCTACCTCGGGAATGTGATTGCAGAGATAGATTGGGACCTGCTTGAGGTCTGTCACATGCAGCCTTTGAGGATCTGGAACAATTCATGTGTGTTTTGCGACCGTAGTAAGACATGCACCAGCGACCACGGCCAGACGCAAGTGGGTTTGCACAAATTTGACCAGCGGCTGCCTGGATTGAGGCGGGCAGTAGTAAACCATTGAGCACCCGGAGGTGCTCTCCAACCGTCAGAGACAATGCGCGGCATTCGTGCTCTAGGCGAAGCGAGCGGTGAGCTTATAAACTGTGGACCCGTTGTCTTCAATAAATAAATAAATAAATAAATATATGGTTGGCGGCATCCGGTTCCGGATTTGCCTGTCACTGTGACCAGCTACAGGACGCCTGCGCCTACAGAGGGACTATGGATAGCTTGCGTTGCACCATCCACACACACCACATCCAGTGTAAATCCGAAGGAATAAGACTGGGAGGCATGCGGATGGGAGCCACGTTTCATCAACGGAGCCGACCCACACTCTTTCACAGGCAAACACATGCTCGCCGTATTTGGGGTATCAACCGCACACAAGGCAGTGGCTGGACCGTAGTCCGCTCCACACTGAGTGCATGGAACCAATCTTTGAGGCTAGCATGATCACAAGGACCGTGCACCCCGTTCCCTCCAGCAACGATCAACTGTCTCCTGAAGCCAGTATGAACGAGGTAGTGGGTAATAGACAGGTAGACACCTAGTCAACATGCACATCAAGCGCAGCCACACCTGGGATGTCAAACAACAACCAATCACTCGGAATATCGATACCAAATAAAAGATATCGAATAAATGAAACGTAGATGACTACACAAATACTCGTAAATGAGCATATGGAAGAAATTGGTTAAAGGTGAATAAGCGATAAGTACAAAATGTCCGAAGTTAGTTAAAAAATCCCACGTGATAAAGTTACGCAAGTTTACTACAATTAGTAGGAGCGACGTGTGTAAGTAAGGAGATTATCAGGTACGCAGAAAAAACAAAATAAAGTGGGAGGGAAGTTATCCAGCATAAGTAAATAAATAAATAAATAGATATATATCTCCACCAGCCGTGGTACTCGCTGTTTGTTGTATTCACCAAAGCATTTGATACGGTGAACCGAGAGGCATTGTCGCTGGTATTGGGTACATTTTTAAGTTTTATTGAATGTTTGCACAATGGTATGCGGGCGAAGGTGAAGCTGAGTGGAGAGACCTCGGATGAGTTTACAGTTGTCACTGGTGTGAAGCAAGACTGTGTTTTCTGTGCTGTTTAATATTTATCTTCATGTCATGATGTCGTAGGCGTTTGATGCGGATTGCGCTTACGGTGGTCATGTGGAGCACATCATTGATGGTGTTGCTGAATATCCGTCGTTTCGGTGCGAGAACCCTAGACTGTGAGACATCTATCCGTATGCTGCTGTTTGCTGACGACTGTGCGTTGTTTTCACACAGCGCGGATGAGTTGCAGCACATGACTAGTGCTCTGGCTTCGACAGCGGCCAAATCCGGGCTCACCATCAACACAAGCAAAACTGTCTGTCACTTTCAGCCTCTGCCGGAGGTGCAATGTACAATATTGCCGTAAATCAGCTACCTTGGGAGTGTGATATCGACTGACCAGCAGCTACACAGTGTGATTCGTATCCATGTCTCTAAGGCAGCGGTGGTATTCAGGAAGCTAGAGTACCGAGTGTGGAACAGCTAACCGTCGGCAAGAAGCTGATGGTGTACAAATCCATGGTGCTATCCGTTCTTTTATATGGCAGCGAAACCTGAACGACGTAGCGGAGAGATGTGAGACATCCCGAGCGGTTTCATTAACAATGTCTGCGACGGATTCTGCGCATCGGTTGGTGCGACAAAGTTGCGGACACAGAGGTGTTGCGCCAAAGTGGAATGTATGCAGTAAACTGCACACCTTTGCTGAGACAATTGAGGTGGCGCGGTCATGTGTGGCGTATGGATTCGACGCGGATATCGGAACAGCTGCTGTATGGCCAATTGACTGCAGAACAGCGGCACGTGAGACAACCGAAGTTACGTTACCAGGATATGATCAAGGTGAGCCTATCACGTTCTATTGTTGATTGCAGATCAAGGCAGTTGGTCGGAGTGCATGGCGCGATCTGATCAAGGAGGCAGTTACCGAGGTGCAAGAGTAAGCCCTTGTGCATCCAGATAAGCGGCAGGTGACGATGGGCTATAATCTGTCGTCGAGCGCATGGTGCTGTAGCACATGTGGTCGCCAATGCCTGAGTCAGGCAGACCTAGTTAGCTACGAGCGAAGGCATTCAGGACCAGCATCGAAACGACGACGGTTGCTGTTGAGAACGGAAGCAGAACCGGCGCGGTGTTGGAAGGTACGCTGCATTCGATTTACCAACGGCGTGCTTTTTTATTTCAGGTTATCGGTTTTTTACATTTTGTTAAATATTACTGTTTTGGGTGATTTAAATGTCAGTCTGAATAAGCTTCTTTTCACTCACACACGTTGTTTAAGCACATTGTGGTTATATTCGTTAACATTTTCGCGTCGGTGGCATTTTAAAATTTTTTTTCTGATATTTTGAACTTATCGCGGATTGTTGATAAACAATTTATTGCGTATGCTCATTTAGCGATGAGTTAAGTCTGTATATCTGTATGCTTTATTCGATATCTATTATTTGATATTGTGATTTCAAGTGATTGGCTGTTGTTTGACATCCCGTGCGGCTGCGCTTGATGTGCACGTTGACAAGGTGTCTACCTGTCTACTACCCTCCACCTCGATTACTGGCTCCAGGAGACTGTGAATCATTGCTGGGGGACGGGGTGCACGGTCCTTGTGATCATGCTAGCCACAAAGAGTGGTTCCATGCACTCAGTGTGGAGCGGACTACGGTCCAGCCAAAGACTTGTGTGCGGTTGATTCCCAGATACAGCGTGCTTGTGTTTGCCGGTGAAAGAGTGTGGGTCGGCTCCGTTGATGAAACGTGGCTCCCATCCGCATGCCTCCCAGTCTTATTCCTTCGGATTTACACTGGATATGGGGTGTGTGGATGGAGCTGTGGGTGGTGCAACGCAAGCCACCCATGGTCCCTCTGTAGGCGCGGGCGTCCTGTGGCTGTCCTATGGAGGCCGCAGTTACAGGCAAAGCCGGAACCGGATGCCGCCAACCACATACAGTCCAACTTGATATGACGACCGGCTAAAAACATTCCGAACGTTTTCCCGCATGAGTAATGTCGATATGCATGAACCTGTCCATGGTGACCACTTGCCCAAGGCGACCACTTTTTGTCGGTTGCTTTGTGGTGCACTGTTAATGAAATGAGCAGAGGCGATGAACTCAGCGAATTATGGATCACCGCGGAAGACGGGTGCGTAGCGCACAATTCAACTAACCCTAAAAATGGATAGCGCAAGAGCGTTGAACCTATACCGTACCGTCACGGCAAGCGGAGGCGATAACACAAGGTGCAACGTAGAATCAAATGATACCACTAATAATATGGGCAAATGAGTCTGAATTTTTTACGTTAGAAATGTTATACCATGTATACCTTCATTCTATTAATACATAACTCGTTCGCATCACATCACCTCTTCCCCATTTAGTGGCCTTGGACAGGTTTGACTGTATGGCAATTGATCCAACTCCATAGTTCAGCGCCGCTGAAAAGATGTAGCGTGAGGTGGTCTGCTCAGCAAAGTATCCTTGCATTATGCAGTCATGGGTATCAGCCCTAGAAGGATAGTGGGTACCGATACACACGTGAGATGTGTAAGTTGAGACGGATCCCGTAGCTCAGTGGTCCAAACCACGGACTGGCAACAATCGAGCTGCGGGCTCGAGCCGTACCACGGTCTGATGGAGTGCGCACTGCTGACATTTCCCGAAAGGGTGAAACACGCGTACAGTGCATTTCCGGGCGTGTGATGGCTGTCTGAGTGAGTCTAGATGGGACGAATTTCTAACTATGCCGTTCAACTCCCCCTACTACTCCTCTGTAAACTTAGTCTTAGCGGAGGATACTATGTTTGAGACATTATTGTGCGAATAAATGATCACACTGCTTGCGTCAAATATTTGCATAGCACAGTGAGACAACAAAAGTAAGTGGATGCGTACACGTTGTAACGTTTCATCAGCACTGTGACAATAACGAGAAACGGTTTATATAATGATCAGAGGGTATTACCAAATCAACCGCATACGGTAGGGCGACCGGCAGCGATTGCCCTAGAACAGGTGCAGCCGGAGGTTCGCAAAATGAATGCTTTTGCACACACATGATCGCTCTTATCAAGCTTATCGCCACGGCGTCGGCAAGCCGTAAGAAACGTGAATTAGGGTTTGGTAAAGAAACCCGAAACGTCAGGATGGAGGAGTTACTTCGATGACGGGAAGCAAAATATATGTGTTCGTGTAGCACGCCGCTGATTTACGTGAGCACGAATACTTGAAGGGAATTGACTGACCCGGTGCTGAAGCAAGTTGAGCGAATAGCCTTTCACTCTGGAATTCAAAATACTTGATACCCGTTCGAGTAGCGGAGTACGATGGATAAGATTACTATGGTACAAATCACCATCATACTCTACCGCACGATAAAATAAGGAACGGTAATCGATGCATCGTGGACGGAAAAAAAGTTTCGAATTACAAAAGGGAGTTTACTTTCAGCGAATAAGCAGATGCAAAATGGAACTTTCTATGAGTGAGGTGAATTGTAGCCAAACCAACCAATTAGTGAGGTCGCAGGAAGGTTGCTACCGACTGCAACTGCACAACATGAGATAGTGACTGGAGAAAAGTTAATATTCGGCGATCTTTCCGTGCCCGATATCCGTTGTACACGATTGCCAAGAACACGCTGGTTTCTAATTTTTGCACAACGTAGGTCCGGTTCACTTTCTCCTCAAAGGAATGCAGTAACAAATTCCACCCGTCACGTTCACTTACGTTTACGGAGTCGTTGATTAACGTTTGGATGATGTGAACGTCAGTGGCAGATAACGCAGACTCCTATAGTGGATTAAATAAAGGGAAAAAAAGTGCGTGATGGGAGGTAAATCTAACATGGAGTCCAGTGTCTGAAACTACACGCAAACGTAACACACAATCTTGAATTCAGGGTTAGCTTCGTGCACATCATTCAATGGGAATGTAATACGTGATGTTAATGGAATCACTTTTCTCACTTCAGGTCAATAGGTTGAATGGGATTCCAGCACCAAAATAGAACGGACAGAGATACTAAACTTTACACCGCTATTTGTAAGTACTGGTGGGACTTATTAGGTTTTGTGAAGATTCGTCGCAGCTAGACTCAGGCAGACAGGCGCCACAGATATAGGAAAGCGCTAGACGGCCATTTCGTCCCATCGGGAATAGTCAGTAGCGCGCATCCTCCGAATCCTGCCGGATTCGAACACACGACCTTACCCCTGCGAGCCAGCGACTTATGTCACTGAGCCATGGGCGACGACAGTGGACCGCCATGACTGATATCTAGCTGTAATATACCGCGGCTCATCCTCTACTGTCAGGTATGTTAAGAACGTGCAGAGGACAGGACTGACCTCCAGAGCAACGACTTCCTTTGCAAGCCGCCACCAATCGAGGTGGCACGTAAGCTTCTAAGGAGACTGTTGATTACTTGTAAGTAGCAGGGGAATTTAGTAGATTTTGTGAAGACTCCTCGCAGTTAGGTAGACTGATGAGTCCCAACAGGACGAAACGGCCATCTAGCGCTTTCCTGGATGTGTGGTGGCTGTCTGCCTGACAGCGACGAGGTTACACCACTATGTTGATATTATGGGCTAATTTAGGCTCCAGTAACTTGGTACTGAGTCAAGCGCATTCAGACAAGCTGGTATATGAGCAGTGAGATGGTGCGAAAAAGGAGGATTTAAAATGCCGACTTGAGTGGAGTTCGTTAATATATGCGAACACTCAATATAAGTCATGGTTTAGCCACGGACCATCTGGAGTGACCGGACACCGTATTCAAACTGATCCGCACACGTACTGGTTGTGGTGTATGAACGAGGGGGGGTGGGGATTCGAAACGCGTACCCGCTCTAATGCGGTATTAGCCATCCACCGGATAGTAACAACGGTGCTTAATCTTCCCGTGCTGCGAAAACAGTCGGAAAATCCGCGGGTCTAAAGATAAGCCTTTACGGCTCGCGATAGCAGTACAGACTATCATTGTGTTCGCCAGATTGTTTGCTTGACGAGAAGGCAAACTCCCACATGTCTGAAGTCTAATGGATGATTCCGAAAATCGGATAGCAGTTAGAGTGAAACAATTGGGTTCGGCCGAATTGGTCAGCCTGCCATAATATGTCCGCTATTCATTGTTTGATGAACAATTGTGGCTGCCTCTGCATCGGACAAAACGGGACATGTGTGAAAAAACCACGGATGCAAGTAGAAGATAAAGACGATATCATTCCTAGTGCGGGACAGGAGAGAGCAGACTTCAATATGGACAAACGATATATCAAATAAGCTCTTGGAGAGCGCAGCTGTGGAGGTCGCCACATGAACGATGATTGAGCGCGCACCGAGTGGTTATAAACAGTGAGTTCGGGTTAGAAAAGGAGAGATGCTTGCCGGAACCGAGCTTTTATTCATCTACAAAATAGTATTGTTATTAGATATTAAGGGTGTCACATTCCGAATTTCGATTCCACGTCGATCAAGCAGATGAAGACAAGGGGCTGAAAACTGTTGCTCCCACGATGATCGAGGGTGCCCTTGATTCTCAGGTGTGTAGCCTGACGAATGTACTAGCATGTGCAGCTTATCGCAATGTTATCAAGAGGTCCGAGAGGAGCAGTGATTCCAACCGACAAAGTGGCTGTCCACGACAGTGTACTGTCGAGTGCACATTACGCAAAAATCGTAAATTTATGAGAAAGTATCCGAAAATGAGGATAGGATAAGTGGCTGATTGACTTAGAGAAAAATGAAAAGATACTTAGAGGCCGCCAAATGGATGGGAGCCCATCTTGTCAAGAATCTGGAGTCAGAAAACCGGTTCCTAATCACTGGTGTGGAAATGTGTAACACTTTCCGTAGTCACGCACGACAAGTTCTGGTTAGGATTTACCACTTTGCAACATTCAGTATAACAGCCACAGATGGGTAAGGCACAACGACGAAATGCCTACAGTAAGTGGACGAAACTAGCTATCTCGAAGTCAACAAACACGCGAGATGTGCGCGCCATCACGTGTCCGCTTATAAACGAAAAGAGCGTGAAACCGACCACGTTAGAACAGCCTGAAGGTGATGGGATTGCCGGGGAACACCGGTGAAGTGAACGAGTTCAGCTAAAAGTAGGTTTGAGTATTGCACAGCATTCCCTTCGGTCAAGTAAAACATCCTCACCTGAGGAATGGTAAATAGGAAGGGACTGCTTTCCCCACCAGTGAGAGTACTCCCGGAAGTTCTAGGAAGTACATATCCGTGACCTTGCCCGTAAGGCGCCGTATCAGAAAAAAGCGATACGGAGAGTGCGTTGGTGCTGTCTTTGAATTGTATCAATCTGAAATGTAAAACAAATGTGTCGGCTAACATGGGGCTTAGGAGATAAACAAAGATGACAAATGAGCAACTTGACTAAGTGAACATTACCGCTGTTCTCACGTTATACAGTGAATAGAGTAACAACCGCAAATTCAAGGCCGGTTGAACAGCAGAGAGCTCCAGAAAAAAGACGCGGATCCTTTGCTAGTGAAGCGACAATGGAATTAATAAGTAGTGCGTGGTGTTGTAGCGGCGAGTACGTATTAAGAGACGAGAAGTTGAAGTGCACGTTAAACAAACGGTGTATGACGAAGTGAGCTGCAAGACCAACGATGATGGGTTATGTACAAGAAATATTTTGGAACAAGACTCCGAGCCGACTAGGTAAAAGTGTATGTCGGTTTGTCCTGATCTTGCGACCATCGCACTTCACACACCACAGCTTAGCGGAAGGATAACCACACAAAAAACCATACCGTGTGTACTTCATTGAAACTGGATCAATGTTTGATGCATTGTGGGGCAGTAAAATGATCCAGATGAGCACTCGTTATGCTGACATGCAGAATGAAACATTATCAGACGAAGCAAACAAGCGATTGACGAGGTAAAAAAAGGAAAGCATTAACAGGATAGTAATTGTAATACTTAGAAAGACTAACTTTCGTTCTGGGAATTTTAGGTTGGAGAGGTGTTAATCGTTTCGAGTTCTGTGCATCGAAGTCGTGAAGCAACTACGATCGACTCAACAAAACACGAACGTTTCTAATGCTGACAACTCAACATTTATATGAGGTATCTCTCAGTTTGGAAGATCAGAAAGATCTAGCTGAAACGTAGTGCATAAGATGCTGAAGTTCAGATTTGATGGTGTGACATCATGAAAGCGTCGGATTGTGGTGGGATTCGTTACAATGGATTGCATCTGCTCATCGGAAATCCAAATTTAGGTGTAAGAGGATCATAAAAGCACCGGCGTAGCAAAGACAGCTAGGTGTCGTCGAGTAGTAATACAACCCCGTAAAAATAAACCCTAATCCGGGAATCAAAGTGAAATGAATTATTACATGCCTGCTGATGATAAAAGAACCAGATACGGTTACTGAGAATCCCGGTTCAGCCAACCACCGAAACCATAAAATACCAGAATTGACAAAAAAATACGAGGAAACCTCGTGAGACTCGACTACTTACAGCCAAAATGGTTTTGAGTATATAGTTGAATGAATTTTCGCCATTTCAGAACACGCAACAGCAGTACAAGTTCTCGCAAAGTCTTAACACGGTTAGCTCTTAGTCGATGGGCTCTAATATGGGCTAATCAAAGGTGCTTATTAACATGCCGACAACAAAATAGACCAGAAGGATTAGATTCGGCTAAAACAGGCCACAGTGCATTGGTTCAGGCCGCAATAAGCCTGTAAAAAGTGAAGGCGTTTGATAATAAGGACAGAACACCATAATGTTCCGAACAGATGAAACGAACCAAGTGTATGGGTTAGACTATCTAGCATCATATTCGAAGGGTAATGCGTACTAATAAATTGTTCGACTTGGCATGAAGAGCAATGAACATTGTACTCAAGCTAGAACTCCGTTTGGAACCGACTACGGGAATTATCCCTGCAGATTCCAAACATCACGGCCTTTTCGCTAGGAGAAAAGGGGTCGAAAGTGAACTAACCGTTAGACACAAGGAAACAACATACCTCATCATTAAACATGGATCTTCGGTGCCTGCTACCTCGAGTAGTTCAGCGTCGCGTCCTGATGCTTGACGAAGAACGGAGAACCAGTAAAGAGTAAACTTGGCGAGCAAAGTGGCATGAAAATAGTTGTACCAGGAAATCAAGGTACCCGGTTTTGTGGTAGACTGAGCCTGCGCATGAGATGGAAAAAGGGGTGGTAATCTTAACTTAAAAAGTAAATGTAGGCGGGGGAAATCATGAGCTGCATTGCAACAGCACAGATATGTACAGCGTGTTGCGCCAAAGTTTTAAAGACAAGCACCGCAAGTAATCTACAAAATGTTGACGTAAACTGTACATAAAGACGTGTCAATATGAGATCAACCGAGTAGTAAATTTAAGCGATTTAAGATAGCTAAAGCAATAACATGCAGTAACTGCGGTTAGCATGACTCACGTAGCCGTAACAATAAAGAGTAAAACAGATAAGATGGTGGGAAAATGTTAACAATCTACCGAATAAAAATGGACGCAACAGTCAAGAAGACGGACAGAAAGTAATGAAAACAAATAAATGCAACGATCAACTGCCTCGAATGGAGGTATGGTGAGAAATATAAGTGAGTCAGATCAGTCGTGTATGAGTACTTTACATTTGGAAGGCGTAGTGTTTGAGAAATGGATCAACTAAACCTGATACGAGATCAAACCTCGATGCATGCTGTTCGTACCAAATGCGTAAGATCAAGCATTTGAATAGAACTCAATCTGAGATTTGGTGCATTCTAGGTTAGTTTGGTTCAATATGTGAAAACAGACACAATGAGTTTCACTATACCCTATATTTGTTCGCTTTCTATGAAAGCCATTGACACTGAGACAGATCTACTGTTCTGCCGCATTCCGCCGTCCCCACTCTCATATGGGTAGTAGTTAGCAGGTTATACAACAGAGCAGATTTCCCAACGTGCGGCACTACATGTGAGCTTGATCAGCAGTGCCCTCACAGCAGCGGCGTCTGATTCAAAGAGAACTGTCATCCGTATAACTGGTTTGACAGCCCATCAACAAGCATAGTTACAGTTCATTTGATTAAATTTGGAGCCAACGAACACTTAAGACTGGTGTATCCCAAAGTATGCAGTTTGTAGCAGTAGCACACCTCCGAACACATGAGACCCTATCGATCAATATCTGCTGCTTATCGAAACCCGTCTGTAAGACTGGAGCTCTGTGCGCACTCTACGACCCAGTAATGTGACACTAATCATTTCCTTATCGTGCTTATGCATAGTAATGCAGCATAAAGTTTTGGCCAAGCCCGTGTGAGTATGGCTGGGAGCTCCCAAGCAGAATCTGCACTAATCGACAAGATCTTAATAGGTAGCCAGATGTAATACGTCAGATTGGCGGGCTCGTTCAACGCTTCGAAGTTTCGCGGGGACAACAGCTGCCTGTTTGTTATTGCTGACTACGTCCCACAAACTGCAACACCGACTCAGTAAAAGATGATTTCTAACACCAACTGAACGAGCCCATTTGATATGGAAAAAGTACGGATGTTGTGGTGCCTGTCAGTGATCTGAACGCCCAAGCTTCTAAACTATACATTGCTGGAGAAGGCGGGGCGGTGCGAACGAATTTATGTCGGAGAACGAACGTATACATGGTATAACATTTCGAACATAGAACAATCGGACTCATTTGCGCACTTCATTCGTGGTGACAATTGATTCCACGCTGCGTCTTGTGCTATCAACTCAGCTTGCCGTGACGATACGGTATAGGTTCAACGCTCCAGCTGCATCCGTTTCCATGGCTGGTTGAATTGTGCATACGCGGCCATCGTCTGCGGTGATCCATTATCCGCTCAGTTCATCGCGCCTGCTCGTTTCACCACTACTAAGCAGTGGCGCACCACACACTAGTAAGCTCCATCTGGGCGGCCAACGTGGCGACGGCTCCAGTAATGATAACGTTGAGCGGCTGCTATAATTGTGTGAAGATGTTCGTTTATCTATCACCAGCACTTACTTCCGACACAACACCAGCCGGAAGGTGGCATGGAACGCACCAGTGTCGGACTAATCATGGGCGCAAATTGGTCACATTGCAATCAATTACCGCTAGAGGCTAATTACTAAAATTCCGCCCGATATAAAGAACAAGTGTGGACACCAATCATGCATATGTATGTGCCGATCCTCGGGTGCGTTTCGGCAGACGCCAGCGACGATGCTGTGAACGCATAGACACCTGTCAATTGGCGAAGGCAGAAGTTTCGAAAGCCTATCACGGTACGCATACCGGTAAGAGCATGTCTCGTAAAACCATGATTATAATTACTATTAGTCCCTTTGAAATGAGAGACGAATGGTAGGATATGTGTTGTTGGCGAAACTATTTACAACGAAGGGGACAATCAATCCACAATTTGAGGAAATGCTTGATGAATCTAATTTAGCCAGCAGTACCAGTTTCCTTGATAGTCAATGATTGAACTGTTCCATGGCCTGTCGCTTTGGATCCGCTCTTCGACAGAAGTTGAACGAGAGTTCGGACTGCTGAAACGGAATAAGGTCAAACGACCGGATAGAATTCATCAAGTCCAGTTCAAGGGGCCAGTACTTGTAGATGATCTACAAGATTTATTAGTGAAAAAACAGGAACAGGAAACTGTCACAGCTGATTGCAGTTGCCCTGTTATTGTCCCGATAATCAAAGGAAGCTCACGCTCCGAATGCGGCAATCATAGAGATCAATCTGATCCCCATCGCTTCTAATTTGTCCGCTACTGTTTTTCTTCATGGATCGACTAGCGCCCGTGAAAGCCAGATTAGTTAGAGTAGTCGGATTTCGTCCAAGTACAGATTGCATTGACCACAATGCCACCTTACATCAGCTATTGGGGCACCGTCTCTTATATTGGCTACCCACTCCAGTCGAGTACCTAGATTTGCAACCTTTGGGACTGCCTGATGAGAAAGGTATGCCTGATAAATCCGAAAATATTATTAGGGTGCTTTACGTGCGTAGTTCGGGCAGAGTGAGAACTTCCTGTAAACTGTTGCCGCTTTTCAATATCTCCGGTGATGTCAGATAAGGATGTCCACTGTCACCTTTCTTGTTCAACTTCGATATCGATGAGGTTATGGAAAATGTGTTCAGCGGACTGGAGTTAGAAAGTGCGGAGCTGCTTCCAAGTGACTACGAGTATGATACCTTGTCAGTGCACCAAGTTGGGCGAAACAACGAGGTGTTCAATCGATGACGTGGCATAGGGGTATGAAGAAATTGACCGAAAGACTTGGTCAAGCAGGTACGTGCAGTCTTCGTAGATGGGGGCCTCGTGCTAGTCCAAACCAATGGTTAGAGACTCTGTCGGACGTGGCGCATTGTCGGAGTCAGTGCTGCCCCTGGATTCGTTCTCTTGCGTTTAGCTGTTCATACTTCAATGCGATCAGCTTCATACACCTCGTTCTTGCTTCCATTCTGCTAATACCATATTTAAGTCTAACCGCATTTACTTATCATTCTTCATTATTGCCACCGGCGACACGAGTGGTGGCAACTGCATCCATGGCATTTTGGTGCCCGGATCATGATTTATCAACTGCAATAAACTGAACTGAAACAACCAGATAATCTTTAAGTATCGTAGGTTATTTAGGAAAGAGAAATTTCAGATAGAATTTGGCTCACTTAACAGGAAAGTAAAATACTAAAAACGAGAAAATACTCCTCTACCAAGTAGTTATTATTCCTAAAGGTAAATTTGAAAGTGGTGCTTTTTTCCTACAGTGTTTCTTTGGAAGCTAGTTTTCAGTCTACCGGCTTGCCCACCATAACTGTGTTTTAACATTAACTTTGATACAAATACGTGCACATCGAAAACTTATTGCTCACGTGTACCTCAGTCTGTCTACTCAATTGGGAACGTAGCTGTGATGAAATAGCAGCAGTTGTGCACCACGTCTACGTTCGTCTGACAATGCGATGTCCATCCTATTTCAACCCCAGTAGACCCCGTATGTAACGGTAACTTCAGTGCTACTGCTAAACATCCGTCAGCACAGAGCGCACAGGTATCCAGTTTTTCGCGAAACATTCTGTCCTCAAACACTGAGCAGCATGTATCGATCGTTTAAGTATCCGTGCTCTGCGCCTCATCGCTTGAAGCGCCGTGCAAGTTGGGGTAGGCAGGCGCCGCGCTTGTAGTGCATCGTGTGAGATCCGATTGCATCTCCGGACTGCCGTTAGAATTCCTCGCGGTTTTCTCAGGGCGCGCAATGTGCGGCAATTTACTTGAAAATCTGTAGACATCCCGGTCACACGATAGTCGAAAGCACGGAGTAGATCTAAGGTGTACGGTCCTACTTAGGTAACATTAATTACATACAATAACTAACCTCAATTGGTTTCATTCTCAGGCCGACACCAAATAGCGCCGGATACACGCTTGACAATTAAGGTGGGCGTAAACGTCAATCTCGCGACAATCCAACGTGCTAATGAACTGGTGCTTAGATCTGGTGTATGACAGTCACTCAAACTCCTGATTGCGGCCTGTGCGATGGGGGGATACAAGGTCTTAGGAGCAGAAGGGCTTGCCTGTGTATGTGGACAAGTGAGGGAGGTTGAACACAAATGGTTCGGGGTCATTTCGTGGGCGCGAATCTGTGGGGATCCACATTGATCGTAATACGCGTGCGAGTAAACGTTAACGGTCGGGATAAACAAGCACATACACATACAGACAGAGAACATGCTGCATCCTCAAAAGTAAAGTTCCCTGATTCGGGGGTCAGAAAACCACACATTACAGTCCCGCTGTACACCGTGTTATCGGAACAGATGAGCCATACGAGAAACATTGGATGGTAAGCGCACAAATGATCAACTTCATTGAATTATTACTGACTGCCATAGCCCAAGTCAGATGTCCTCAACCTACGGGTCGCGACGTCATCTCATCCAGTCCGCGAACGACACACGATTTTTGAACACCCAACTAATTCACGTGCCTATACTAGCCCTGTGTTTGCGGCATTTGCATTAATGTATCTGTGATCAAGTCATTGCAAGACCCCATTCTGCTTGAAGACGTTCATGCATTGTCACCCCGGCATTACAGCTGTCACTTATCGGCTTTGACAGTTTGAGCGATACTCTGCGTGTAGCCAATTGTACG